CCTCCAGTGACCTACAGGTTGCCGGAGTTTTCACCAGAAGAAGAGAAAGAATTTCCAGCACAAAATGATACAGACATCGGAAGGTTTCCTCCACCTGCTCATTCAAAGCAATCTTCTCGTCAAAGGGTTCTTGAATCGCGCCAGCAAGTAAACAATCAAGCAAAGCAATGCGTCCCTCAGCTCACTTGTATTCGCGGCTCTCTCTATCCGTCCCCACGCCTTCAATATCAGGACGTCTTTGAGCTCGATGACGGCAATTACGGCACCACATCACTTAAACCGAGCCCTCGCACACGTCACCAGCATTTTCGTGAAAGCCATCGCGCTACTTCCGGCCATAACAGAATAGAACATTCCAAGCCGTTAGCGCTTACTGAATCAACTCCGTCAGACACAAACCAGAATGGCCAGAAGGAATCCATAGTTGCGCCCGCAACTACTGATGTTGTTGCTGAACTTCCGAGCAACAGCACTGTGGTTAATCGTAAGTGGTGTGCCCGGCGCCGCAAAACGTCGCACGCCACAGATCGATACATTCGACGGCGTGTAAACGCGATGTTAAGTGGGTTCGGCTTCCCTTCGCGACAATCATCACGACTGCTGTCAACATCATCAACGAATGCATCGACTATCCTGGTCAAGAATGATGATGAGCTTCAAGAAAACGATTCGAAGCAGACAAAAGTTCAAAAATACCGGCAAAGCACTGGTTGCAAAGAAGTTATCAGCACATGGTTGTTGTTCAGAGGCTTTTTCTGCTGTTGCCCTTGTTTTGTGACTCCTATCAATTCCATGTTGTGTTTTGTTCGAGAAACCTTCCGTGCGCTTTGGGAGTCCTAGCTAATGTCTTTCAGGTTAATTTGTTTTGTTGTATACTAGGTAATTGCTTCATATCTTTTTTTTTTTACATTTGACAATTCAAACCTAAGAGCGTGAAAAAAAACACAAGCAAGTGGCATGTTTGTCGCGTTGTTTTCTTATAGAGCTTAGAAGTTGAATTCATGTTAAACAAAACCCTCTGAACAGCAACTATCATGCTGAAGAATTTTATTCCAGTCTTGTTTTGCTTACTGCTTCCCCTCACCCAGTGTGGGTTTTCTTTTCGGCAACGTCCTACCTTCGATTCAATTGTAAGCTTCATGTGCAAACTCCGGCTTTTCTATTCATTTTTCTTTTCAGATAAATGGCGGCGGAGAGTCTATGTTTCACAGAGAGTACCCTGGTTTTCTTACTCTTGTCAACACGGTGTGTCGTCAAGCACTCTTCCCGGATAAAATATTTGTTTGCTAAGGTCCGTGGAAATGCTTTGAATTTGGCTGGCAAAAAAGTTCAAAAGGTCTGAAGCACGCCTCAATAAAAACACGACATGTTCTCGTCGCAGTCTACCAGTCTAGAGCACCCCGAGACCCATAAATCAGACGTGGGTGCTGGCTACTTTCTTTGTAGTCAATCACATCGTAATCGTTTTGTTGCAGGTGGAAGAAGAAAGCGAGGAGGAGAGCGAGAAACACGGAAAGGAGAAAGAAAGTGAAAAACACGGGAAGGAGAAAGAAAGTGAAAAGGAGGAAGCCCACAAGGCAAGAGCATGACTTTGACCATCTGGTGGCATCCCCTCCGTCTTGATAGGTCGGGAAACACGAGGAAACCACTGGGGAGACGAAACTCTCAGAAGAAAAGCTCGAAAGTGAATCAGAGGAAGAGATTACAAAAGTCAAAGACGAGGCTTCTCATATTCAAGTGAGAGCACTCATTGTGAAAAGTGATAATGGCAGAGTTTTGGACAGAGTGAGGCTACGAAAGAGCCATCTGAAGAGAAAAAAGCTGAACAAGAAAAGCTCGCGGAAGAGCAAAAAAAATTGGAAGATGTTGCTGGACGCCTCAAGGTAACCTGGTGGCTGAGTACGGAAGTCAGACAAAGTAACCCTTAGGTCGCTCAACTGAAAGCTCCCGAAACGGAAGCTGAGGAGGAAGAATTGCAGCGCTTGAAAGAAGAGCAACAAACTGAGGCGGCTGGTCGCTTGTTGGATAAAGAAAGTTAGACACCACATGAACAGGAGGCTCTTGACGGTTCACGTTCAACAGAATGTGTCCAGGAGGAAATTCTTAAGCTGAAGGATGTTGCTGGCAGAATCCTTGCCGCTGAAACCGCAGCGAGTCCTGCAAACGAGGACGCCGCAAAAGCCGAAGAGGATGAGGTGAATTGTTTCAGGTTTCCAGAGTGGGGAAGGTTTTGGTGCTCGTAGTTGGCGAATCTAAAAAAAGCGGCAGAAAATGAGGTCGCAACTTCCAAAGCAACAGAACAGGCGGCCCTTAAACTTGTGAGTCGGGAATATCTTCCGAGTTGGACGACTAACATTCCAATTGTTGCAAGGTTGACTCTACTCCCCCGCCAATAGACGAAGTTCAAAAAAGAGAAGAGGAGGAAGCATTGAAATTAGCTGAAGAAGAGGCGGGCATTGCAGAGGTGGGCAACCCATCAAACACGCCTCAGCTTGAGTGTATGTGGTTAGCGGGAAAAAAAAGACGACTGCGAAACGAATGTGAGCGGAATTAAATGATCAGATGTCGCTCGCTTATCTGCTGCTGAGCAGGAAGCTTTGAAAACCTTCATGAAAGCTGGAACCGAAGGAGAAGAGCCATCAGCAGACCCTGTGAAGCATAAGGAGCAACTGGAAGCAAAAAAAGCTCAAGCAACAACAGAAGGAGACTTGGCAGTACGTGCATCGTCCAGCTTCCCTGTGTGACCCGAACTCCACAGGAAATTGAGTCGGAGGCTGCAGAAAGCGACACCGAAGAGGCCGACAAATTGCTCAAAGAGGTCGAGGAGCAAGCCAAGGAAGCTGGTAAGATCAGAGAAAGATAGCAGGAAGATGTTTGTCGCAGAGTTGAAAGACGAACAATCAAAAACCGATCTAGAAAAGCCCGCCGCTATCAAGGAGATTGGCGGAAAACCAGACCCTTGTCTTGAAAACAAGGAATTGGTGTGTAACCCGAATGACTTCGAGTTTATATCCCCCCCCCTCATTAGGCAAATCAAGCAGTCGCTGCCTCCAAAGAGGCGGAGGAGTCAACAGTTGAGCTCGAAAAAGCGATGGAAAAACTGAAAGATGCTGAGAAATTAGCCGCCGATGCACGAGCAGAAGCTGCAAAAGTAATTTCTCTATTCGAATACCTCTATTGAATGGATCCCACAGGCAAAACAGGAGGCAGATGCGGCGAAAATGGACCCATGTGAAGACGAAGGTCTGTCAATTTCTCGGACATATAAGAGATAACCGTTGATTGTATAGCGCATAAGAAACTGGCCGCGGACGCAGAGAAGAAGAGTGTGGAAGCGGAGAAGAAGGTAATAAGACTAGATCCGGAAATTCTTCGACCACCTGAACATCAGGCCAAAGAATTAGAAGACGCTCTCTTAGCACAAAGAGTAGGACCCACGAATCTGAATGCACCGAAACAGCGTGGTCTATCAATCAGAGCAAACTCGAGGCGCTCAAACTAAAAACTACGAATGACAAAATGGCGGCTGAACAGAAAGCTGTATTGCATATGTCTCACAAGCCCGAAGACTGCGAACCCAAGACGGTACGAAGAATAGAGAGGGAGATGCAGAGATGTCACACATTCAGAACGGGTGCGCAGAAGTAAAACCATCGCCAAATCCTTGTTTTGAAGAAAAGGTAAGTCGATTGCTTCAATTGAAAATTAGTTATCTGCTGCTTAGGAGGAGCGAGACGATCCTCAAAAGAAAAGTAAAGATGCAAGCGAGAAAGAAAATCGAGAGATAGTGAGTACAAAGATGATGCAGGATAAAGACAATTTATTGCAGGAATCTGAACCAACCATATCGGTGGGAGACTTCCAGATTAAGAGGAAAACCCAGGCCTTCACTGAGAATCGAGCAACGCCTCAGATTTCAAGTATGTGTACGAGAGTACAGAATAGAGTGACGCTGTTCATTTCTATGGCAGACGTTCAACAATCAAATGAAGAGGAAGATCGCGATATTGTAAGCAACGAAGGTTCACGATGACAAAATTCCATTCCGATTGCAGGAATCTGCAATAGCTTCATCGATGTTGTCGCGACTCACCAAAAAGTCAGGAAGATTTCTGCACGGGAACATCGCCGTTGCTGCAAACCGTAATCGAAAGCTTTTTTGAATGTCTGCGAAGAACTCGCAACGAATTCAATGTCACCATAGTCCATCAGCCGCAGCATCACTTCAACAAACTGAGATAGACGTGCTTTCTGGACTGCGAATCATAAACAGTATTGCAAGCGTCCATCGCCAGCTGAGTTGAATCAAACCCGCTGGCATCCTTGGCCTCTTTTGTTCTACCCGAGAAGACCACTTGGAACAAATCATCTTTGGCGCACTTCGAAACAGAGGCTTTCGTGAAATGCCTCAACAATTGAAAGCGTTCACCTCTTTGGGGTGGTTCCCTAACCAAACCTCATTTTGATTCCCCCAGTGATCTGCAAGTCCGCCTGCAGAAACGTATCGAGCAGATAGCTTGAGCGCTGTACGACGGGTACTGTGCGTATTCCACCTACCAGAGTGAGCGGCATTTCTATTGGACTCTGATCAATGCGTCTACAACCTTCCATCTGTTTTTCATATCGTTTGTACTTCAACCTGAAATTAGACTCTGGACAAAGAGGGTGAGCTATCGTCTTACCAAAACTGCAGATAGTCTGCTGGAGGCAAAACCACATGAAGGTACTTGAGAAACTCCTCTGAGTGTTGCACTGCATCAAGATGCCGCTGAGCTTCGGTTTGTGCGCTGACAAGATACGCCATCTTCTGGTGGACTTGATCCTGGTGGTAACAGGGGAGCGAATTTCAGACACATTAGGATGCAACGATGAATCAACACATACAGATAGTTGGTTCAAAGCAACATCCAGAGTTTCGAAAATTTTATTTTCTACTTCGCGCATTTCGTCAAGGACTTTTCTAACGCCAAAAAAGATGTGGTGCGTCTGGCGTTAGCGACTCACTTTTTGACTATTCCCACCCTGTTAAGTTCGCTTTCAAGATTTTTTCTTGTTTTTTCAACAATTGGGGGATCAAACTGGTCTGCGAATTTTGTCGCTTGGGCTGGAGGATCGATTGCCATCAGGAAATCCTCGAAGCGGCCGTTTTGCTCTGTGAGGCTTTGGCGAGCTCCGTGTGCGTGAGAAGGTCCACAGAGGCGACAAGCGGGAATGCGACAGATGCAACAGAACAGCGTCGGTTCCTCGTTAGGATGGCTCATACATTTGCCGCTGCGTCTGGGCCTCTGTGTCAAGACAAAGAAATCCAGAGAGCATCTTGTGAAGCTTACATGATGCAAGGGAAACCTGGAGTGTCTGGCCGCCAATTGGGACGCAGCATGGAGACGATCGTCACAGTCACCGCAGAGTTTCGCCTTATCGACGCCACACCAGAGAGCCGCAGGGAGATCGACGCAATTATCGCAAAGAGGGATGGCGAATTTCTCAATACTGCAAGGATTTGATTCAACTTGAACCACATAGAGGGGTGAAAGCTAAAATAAAATAGTAAGGATCGAAACATTGAACACTTAGAAACAGTCAGAAATGAATCAATAGCATCGTGGATTTACTTGCGATGAATCAAAAACTGTGTAACTCTCAGCAATAGTCAGAACGGGCACCACCCCGACCGTTGCTGAGTCTCCCACCATTGGGCCGCCTCTAGGAAAATGCATTGTGTAACGAAGTCGGCCATCGCAGGAAAGAGAACCGTTGGAGAGACCTTTTTGTTTTGAAGTTGAAGGCGAAAATCTTGACCTAACAATTGAGTCGAATTGATTCTGAAGCGTGTTTGATCGAGATTCTGGAATCGCTAATCCAACGACTGAAAGCAGATATTGGAACAAATTTGGAGAAAATTTATGGCATTCGTGCGCCTACCAACTTGACACAAAATGAACTGAAACAATCGCCTTTCACCGACCGGGAAAACATCTTGCATTTGTTTAACGTCACCATGCGATAATAAGAGAGGAAGACCCGGCAGCACAAGTGCGCCAAACGGGAAAGTCATTCCACAGGAGGGAACAACAAAGCCTCGCCTAAGGATATCTTGCAATCTATTGTTCTCATCTAGATTGTTTGCGTCAATCCAGCAAAGAATTCGTTGTTTTCCTGAAGCTCGATGCTGTCTCAATCCAGCGTGAAGGCGAGATTCAATGTGATATGCGCGAACGACTTTGACTCGGGATGATCTTACGCACAGCATTAAATATTGCTCTAGTATTCGATGCTCATCAGAATCTGGACTGACTGCAGCTTCAGGGAGATAAGGGTCAGGCGAAGACAACATTTCGTTGATCACAAAAAGAAAAAAGAGGAAAAGTTTGTCGCCTAGCTCGCACCACAAATAGATTCCGTCACAATCAGACCGCTTGGAAGGCCCTTCCTAACTGCACGTTTAGTCATCCAGGGGCAAAGAATAGAACACCTACGCTACCAGTTCGGAATATATGGTGCTCATCAATCGTTCAATTGGCTTGCGCAGACCAGAAGAGTTGCATGCTATCTTGAACAGTTGCATGACATGCTTAATGTTGAAAACTTTGCGCAGAGGAAAAAAGCTTCACATACTTAAAGTTAGCATTGAGATGCATTAGCGGCATCCAGTTCAATCAGATACTTCACAAGAAAAAAAGCTACAAACTTAGCAATAAAAAGAAAGCGAAAATAGGCTAAAAACAATTTTTACAAAGAAAGATTCCACATTTAATTTGTTTGTTACTCCTTTCTTTCATTTATGCTTCTTCGTTTCCATAAATAACCGTTTTCAACGTTGTTGACAATTGATTCAATGTTGGAGATGCAAAAGAAGTGAACAAGCGCTCAATTCCACTGGTTGCCTTCTCAGCCAGGGCCGTTGCGGTGCTAATCCACCTAATATTGAACTTCTGCTGCTGCCCAGTTGCTTTTTGAAAGGCACTCTTATTGCTCGCTTCGGCTCCTTCTACGAAAACCTTTGAACCTCCTTCCACGACAGCTGATGGCCCCCGCCTTCCTTCTCCCAGCCCCAGCGCTTCCTCATATGGCAGAATCAAATGGTCAAATTCCCTCTGGCTGAGGTAAATCGGATCAACTGTGATCGACTCTCCTTCGTTCGTTGTTCCTTTGAACAATAAATATGGCTCATGCAAGGACTTTCTCAAGCGCTGGTCTTCCACCGAAGTCTCTCCTTCAACTGAATGTGAAAAGGCACGATTAAACCCAGAGAGAAACGCTCCCAGCCATCCTGTGTATCCATTCGATGACGTTGGCGCTAAATTTGCATCATCAAGAGGCTCTGCTGCATTCGTTTGGTCACTTTTCTCTGTCACTGAAACCTCAGGAGTTGGTGCTGCTGAGCTTTCGCGGCGCAGCATGCCGCCAAATCCTCCAGATTTCATTCTAGCGATTTCCGCGGCGGTTCTAAATGCTGCCTCGATATCTACGATGCCTCCACACACCGCTAAGTCTGAAAAACAACATCACGAACACCTGTTGTCTCTTTTTCCTGCTCGACCTACTCGTCAACTCTGGGGATTTTCTGCACGACGTTATCAAAACACGGATGACCTCAGTGTTGCTCAACATTGGGAACCGACTCCATACCAATGCAGCGGCACCAGCACCCATTGGAGAAGCGAATGAGGTACCAGAAACAACCGCATAACCGCCGCCTGATAACCACCGATAATAAAATGAAATCAGAAATAAGGTCGTACTGACCATTCTCAACGGTAACAATGCGACTTCCAGGGGCGTAAAAGTCAACAGATGATCTCCCGTAGTTGGAGAATGACGCTTTTTTGCCAGATTTAGTGCTTGCTCCTACAGCGAGAATGTTATCGAGATTGTAGATCGAGGGAGTGTGATCATATCTGAAGAGAACCCATTTAATCAAAGTGATACTGATGTCACTTACTGGGGCAAATCGGTGTTGTAATTATTATTTCCAGCAGAAGAAACAAACAAATGACCATATGATCTCGCTCGGTTGATGACTTCAAATTCTAGACGGGAAA